TAAAAAAAAAAAAAAAAAAAAAAAAAAATTGACGAAAGAGCTCTGCTGACAAGATACCTTTATTGGGTTCCACACACTGGAATGATCGCAGATCTCTGATGTCAACGGAGAATTTGAGCTTGTTGATGTAGTCGCGCCGTGAATCAGCACTATCCGTTGATCGCGAAAGATTCTCGCTGTCATCCTCAGTGGCCAAAACCCATCCATCCTCCTCCAAGGGAACCCATTCAATCATCACACCATATGGCTGCAACACACATACTCTAAAATGTTTAACAAATCCAAGCCCGGTACACGCGAGAAATACGAAGGGAGGCCGCACAAACCTTTTCGATAAGAGATAATTTGCCATTGATATAGCAATCCTCCGACTCATCGTTGCATTCCGTGATTCGTTTCGCCGCAACGCCTTGAAGCGCGAAAGTTTCCTGCACAAACAACAGACTTTATCAAAAAGCAACCAAACGAGTCACCTAGCGCCACGCTTGCTCGCAAAAATCAGCATGTGGGGGCGCATCCGGAGCAACTGCTTGGGGAATTCAGTGTTAGTGGGGTTACTGGGATACTCATACGCCGGACAGAGCTTTGTCAGTTCTTCGAGCTGCAAACCCCAGCCAGTAAGTAGAGCTTGTTCGATGTGTATGCGCCACTTCTCCGGCAGCACTCCGGAGCGGTCGTTTACTTTCTCAATGAAACCACTCACTAATACTTCACTTTCAGCGATTGCTAGCAAGACACGCTGGAACTCCAAAATACTTTAGTGCTAAAGAGAGAGAGAGAGAGAGCATGTTGAACAAGTACTCATCTACTACCCGATTAGAAAATCCACGCTGTTCAGCCAGAAAGAAAACTGCCCGAGATTTTCCAGTCTGCGCGACATGAAATAGTAGAATGGAAGGACTGGTCTAAAATGTCATGTGCCGAAGAACATTTTACTATGTGGTAAGTCTATGTTTCATCCTTTAGCTGTATGCACAGACCGAACTATGTGACTGAAATCTGAAATTATCTGCCAGGAGGGGCCTTGTGTAGCCATTCTTGCTGCTGCCCAAAGCAGCCCCCTTTGGTCTGCCCTATATAGACACTTCTATTCCATTAGCACAGTGCATCGATTGTAGCCGGGTAGTTTTATTATTGGTAAATCTTCAAGTATTTTTTGCCTGGTTGGTCTCGTTTACAAGGCATTTTTATTTAAAAATGCTAATTTCATTTTTCTCGTTGTTCAAAACAGTCATTCTCTGTGATTTGTTTCTTTGGCCATTTAAATAGAACATAAGCCGTGCTCGATCAGCGAACCGGGCCTGTGACGCCACATTTATTATGCGTTTTGTGCTGTGTAACAGCGTTACAAAACGCACTTTGGCACGGGGTTGTCTGTGTGTGTGTGTGTGTGTCCCAGACTTTGTCCCGCACTTTCAACTCCGGAACTACAAATTCTAGGCGGATGAAATTTTAGTATAGCGTTCCCCGCTAGCGGGCAACGCGCAAATTTAAATTTAGCTTTCCCGTGCCAGCGGGTAACATGTACGGGCCCGTGAAAGATTTTTACGGGTAAATTAATATCTCAAGAACCACGGAGTCTAGGAGGCTGAGATTTTGAGGTAATGACCCCTACCCACGCTCAACCTGGCCCACTCAAATCCAGCGTTCCCGCGCTCTAGGGTATCACCTACGGGCTAATGAAAGTTTTTACGGGTAAATTATTATCTCGGAAACCATGGGGTGTAGGAAGCTGAAATTTTAAGGTAATAACCCCCTACCCATGCTCAACCTTGCCTATTCAAATTCAGCATTCTCTCGCTTTTGAGTGTCATCTACGGCCTCGTGAGAATTTTGGCGGGTAAACTATTAATTCGGGAATCACGAGAAGATACTCACCCTTCAAGGTTCCGAATTCAGCTTTCATGCGCTGATGCATGAAATTTTTAACTATTTTCCAGTGTTTGAATTATTTTTGCACAGGCAAAAGTATAACGCAGTGAAAATCATTAATAGGCAATGGTTGGATGAGCTGAATTGCACAAAACGCATGGTCGCACCGGCTAGTCTGGCGCGCGTTGCTATTTATTCGGTACGGTTCGCGCCTAGCAACTCTTTTCCGGCTGCTCTGACCAGTGCTGCATTTGCTGCTCTCCGTCGGCTAGCGATCATGAGGTTCGTGGGGCTAGCTACCCTACCTAGCCAAACTTGGCAAAACTTAAGAATTTTGTTGCGGACTAATACAGCGAACAAATAAAACTGAACCACAAAGTGCAAGTACTGGGGCAGATTTGGGCAAAAAAGAAACGTAGAGACTTACGCGATCGGGTGTCAAAAGTGACTGAATTGAGGTGATATCGTTCAGCGACTCCATCGGCACGTCGGTGCGCATCTTCCTCTTGTTCTGATAGTGCCGATAGACGAGATACGCCGGAATCATTCAACACAGCACTCCTCCTCCTCCTCCTGAAACACAACAAACCCTGCGCCGTAACACAACCACAGAGGCCACACAGAGCTGGCACTGCGCCAAGCCGACCTCACAGCGCGCTTCTACAGCTTGCAGCTCTGCGCACAGCCATTTTGAGGAGGAACACACAGATGTATCTGACTACAGCTACTAACTGGTTCATGACGATCGAGGTTATCCGAGCTCGAGCACCATGCGCATTTACGGAAGATAGAGCGGGTTACTCTTGTCCGTGCTTGAACCCTGTTGTAGCGGTGACATGCAGCGCGCCAACCAGAGCAGACGGAGAAGGAGGGGGTGCCAGAGGGCTAAGCTAGCATTTATCGTGGCGATGCGAACAGGGCCACATTTGACGTGCTACGACTGAGAGGAATTGTTCGAACTCCGCTCCACTGCACTGCTCAACATGCTCATCATGGGCTTAGGTGCGAGCATGCTGTGCGTGCTGGTGCAACTCGGCTCAACTCACACGCACAATATTACAGGTCCACATTGAAGGTGCGCACACCGGGTAGTAC